ATTTCTCTGGGAGAAATACCCAGGTGCATGACTGCTGGGCCGTATGCTGGTGGGATGTTTAGTGTTTTTGAGACGCTGCCAAACTCTTTTTCCCTGGAGGCTATACCGCTGGGCATTTGCACGGCAAGGCGGGAGCGATCCAGTTTCTCTGTCTTCTCAGCGTGGCTGTTGTCGCTGTTTTTCATTTCAGCCCCTGCCATGGGTGAGGACCGCCCTCTTGCTGCGGGCTGCAGGTGCGCCGCTCTGCCCGTCAGTGGAGGTGCGCTTGCCATCAGTGTCCCCTCTTTCGTGGCGTGTCTCTTCCTGTCTCTGGCCCATGCTCCAAATCGACTGTTAGCTTTTCTTATTTTAATGTTTTTTGAAGTTTATTCATTTTTGAGAGAGAGAGAGAGAGTGTGAGAGGGGCAGAGAGAGAGAGAGGGAGACGCAGGATCCGAAGCAGCTCCAGGCTCCGAGCTGTCAGCACAGAGCCCGACGTGGGGCTCGAACCCACGAACCGTGAGATCATGACCTGAGCCAAAGTCGGACGCTTACCTGACTGATCCCCCGAGGCGCCCCTCTACTATTTGCTTTTTTTTTTTTTTTACTGCTGAATTTTGAGAGTTCTTCATATAGTTTAGATTCGAGTCCTTTGTCAGATATTCGGTGCGCAAATACCATCTCCTGTTCTGAGCTGGTCTAGTCCTCGGACCCTTTCTGGGGCATCTCCCAGAGCAAAAGCTTTAATTTTGATGAAGTGCCATGTAGGTTTCTCCCTTCATGGATTGAGCTTTTGGGGCCACGTCTAAGGATTGTTTGACTAGCCCTAGATCCCCCAAAGTTTCTTTTATTATGGTTTTATGTTGACATTTAACTCTGTCATCCATTTTGACTTAATTTCTCAGTGTCTGCGTGTTGGCAGCACGTCGGCCGCCTTTGCTGTTCAGACAGAGGAACATCCCGAGAGCAAGCAGGGCTTCCGGGGTGTGCAGGGGCTGCCTCGCTCTTGCACCTCTCTGTTCCTGCGAGTGATGCGTGACGTCCTCTGCAGCACAGGGTATCACCGTCCCCTGGGGGGGGGGGCAGGGGGGCAGGAAGGTGGCCCTGGCTGCTTGTAGGCTCGGGATTTGTAGCCTCTGTTGGGTGCACAAAATGACAAAGTGATGTAAGTATTCAAACTAAGCAGTTTCCGTTTAACGTTGGGTTCACTGTGTAGAAATTGCTTAGCTGTGTATTTTGTTCCTGCTATGATAGAAGTATTTGTCAACTCACAGCCACACTGAGTTTTTAATCAGAAAACAGCCACTATTTTTATACAAAGAATCTTAGAACAGTACGGCTGGAAGGGATCACCTCTGTTTCCCAGAGTGTGCTCCGTGGAACCCTGGTGGCACCCTGTGACCCGAGTTCTGTGGCAAGTCGATGTGGGACTGCATATGTCTGTTCCCCGCCTTCCTCTTTGTGGAATCGTGATTCTTAACACTTTGTTAAAGGTTTTGAGAAGGTCTGAAATCAGTAAGTTTGTTTAGTGTTAACTCAGTGCTTCCCATTTATCTGACCTCCTAAACTTGCTTTTAGCACATGCAGAACAGGGTTTTGGAACTGATTTATTCCGGTGTGTGCATTTCAGACTCTTGTAGAAACTAAGGGCCCTGATGCTGAGGGTGTTGTGCGTCCCTGCATGTAGAGCGCAGGGCGTGTTTCCCCAGGGCACGCTTTGCGTCTCCTGCACTCCAACTGTGGCAGATGGGTGCACCCCCATGTTAGCACAGCACAGGGGTCCCCCAAAAGCAGCAGCGAATTGCACAGGGAGAAAGCCCGGGCCCCAGAAGCACCCTCCCCGCCCCCCCCCCGCCCCCGCCCCCGCCAGCCGGCCCCACGTGGCCAACACCCCGGTGTTGGATGAAGACCTGGAGGAACAGAGCGGCAGTGCAGTGGGGGGGGCACGACTCTGGAGACCTTTCACAGCAAGAGTTGGGGGACTCAATTAAATGGGGTTACGGTGGTTCACTGGCTGCTGGGGAGAAAGGCCCCGGGGCGGGGGGAGGGGTTTTCCGCTGCAGGACGAACCCGCGAACCCTCGGGCCGCGCTGGGGGACACGGGGAGAGGCGGCTGGAAACAGGGCGGGGGACATTGGTGTTGCAGGCCTGGAGCCGAGGGGGGCTGGGCGCCACCGCGGGGCGCGGGAGGAGGGGGCGTCCGGGAGCCGCGGGGAGGGAGCACCCCCAGCGGGAGCCGGCGCAGGGGGCGCGCGCGGATCCCCCCAGTGAGGCACCTGCGACAGCCTGTGTTGCCCGCCCTTCTGCTCCGGAGCCCTTGCACCAAACTCACCGGGTGCGTGCGCTCCCAGGAGGGGAGGCGGGGCTGCGCCTTCTGGGCTTTTCTGCGGCCACCGCAGGGAGGCCCCGGATTCGGCGACTTCGGGCAGAAAATCGTGGGGGGCGGTCGGGGAGGGAGAAGAGGCAGGAACAGAGCGGGCCTGGGGAGCTGCGGGCTCACTACCAGCGGAGCAATCACATTCATGGTTATTATTTTAGAATTTATTGATTGTGAAATCCGCCGGAGGTCCGGAAAATGTATATAAAAACCAAGTGTGCGGCTTGAGACTTGCGAGTGAGCCGCAGAATTACCGCAGGGAGATTCCCGCACCCCCTCCCTGCTCACGGCACCCCCACCCCACCCCCAGGGCCCACCATTTTGGCCCCTGGAGACCACCTTCTGGCTTCCCTTCAGCCTGTTAGGACATCATTATGCGTCCCTAATTTTGTCACTTTCACAGATGTGACCATGCGGAGCTGGCGATGGCTTCTTCCCTCCGCGTGGCTGAGACCCACCCCTACGCAAGGGTCTTCCTTCTCCTCGCTGCGGCCCTCCGCCCCCCACGCCCCTGTGCACCTGCACCCCACCCACCCCACCCCTCCCCGCGCTGCCTAAACACACTTCCCAGCAGCTCGTCTCTCCTGAGTCACGCCCCGCGGTTACCACCCCTGCGAAGACGGAGCTGTGCCTCCGAGGGGCCTGAAGACTCTGACCCGTCGGGGGCGTGTCACTCACCCGCTTAAGGATTTGGTACCACGTGCAGATGGAAATGGGGAGCCAGCGAAGGGTTTTGAGCAAAGGAGGCACTACATCAGACCTGTGACCGCACAAAAGATGACTGTTGGGTGCAGAGCCGCAAGGAATACGAGTAATTTCCAGGCCTCCTGGACGGCCAGGGGTGGTCGGCGGAGGACTGGGGAGGGGTCCACGGGCATCCGGGCGGCTGAGGACCCCGTTCAGACCAATGATTTCATGAAGATCCATGTCCTTTTAACTTTCTCTCTGGAGGAAATCAAGGTTTTCTGGGCCCTTATTTAGGGATGTGCTTGAGGATCGCAGAGAACTAGCACCACCACCAAACCCTATTTAGGGTGCTACGCCCCCTGCAGGCGGGACTCTTGTTAGGTTTTGCATCCCCCGGGGCAGGGGCAACACTCAGTTCCTTGCACCCAAAATGCAGGTAACTCGTTTATAGGCTGCAGTAGGTTAAAACGATGAAGAGCATGGGGCGCCTGGGTGGCTCAGTCGGTTAAGCGTCCGACTTTCGCTCAGGTCATGATCTCGCGGTTCGTGGGTTCGAGCCCCGCGTCGGGCTCTGTGCTGACTGCCCGCTCGGAGGCTGGAGCCTGTTTCGGTCTGTGACTCCCTCTCTCTCTGACCCTCCCCTGCTCACGCTGTCTCTCTCTCCTAGAAATAAATAAAACATTAAAAAATTAAAAAAAAAACGGTGATGAGCAAAACTGGATTGTGTTTCACCTTCAGCCTTCCCATCGCCGCCAGTTAGGAGAGAAAGGAGACGGCCGCGGGCTGGCTACCCTGGAAAGGGCTCCTGAAAGCCGGACCCAGGGATTTAGAAGGATGGACACGGACTTGGGGAGCGGCAGAGGCGTCCTAAGAGCATGCGAGGTGAGTACAGAAACAAGCAGGGGCGTGGTGGGGTCCGGGAAGGGCCCCCGAGAAGAATCCGGAGGCGCCCGGGGGCTGCAGGCAGGTGGGTTTGGCCTCCGCGGTGCTGGCAGCTAACGTGCGCTGAACACTTCCTGTTCACGTTTGTGTACATGGGCCGTCGGGGTTCTTGGCCAGGAGGTGGCGGTGTGGTCGTGTGCGAGGGCCAGCGAGCGGTCAAGTTCAAGCTCCGCGCTGGGAGCTAGCTTCCCGACATTCGTGTTTCCGTAATAACTTAAGAAAAAAAAAAAAAGCCAGGCTGGGGCGCTGGGGCGCCAGGACCCCAACAGCTGGCCAGCACTCTGGGGGTCCCCCAGGCCGAGGCAGGGGGTCATGGTGGAAGGGCCGTGCGCCCCTGCCCCAGCACCCCCCTCTGGGCCACCCGCTGGCAGCCAGAACGCGCTCCCCACGCTCGCGGGGGCGGGGGGGGGGGAACAAGGGGCTGTCTTCTTCCTCCCGGCCTCGGGCGGCAGCGCCCGGCTGGCCCGCCCCGCCCGGTCGGCGAGACGGCGCTGCTCCGAGGGGCTGGGAGGGGCCCCCCGCCCCCCGCCCGCCCCCGCGGCGGGGCCTCCGCGCCCCACGGGCCCGCGCAGCCCCCGCCCCCACTCACCCGCGAGTCCCGTCCCCGCCCCCAGGCTCCCGGCCACCAGCGCGCCCACCCCGCCCTCCTCCTCCCTCCACTCGCCCCTCCCTCCTCCCCTCCTCCCTCCCGTCCTCCACTCGCTCCTCCCTCCCCCGCTCGCCCCTCCCTCCTCCGCTCGCCCCTCCCTCCTCCCTTCCC